TAAGTCCATGTGGTATGGGGATAACAGGCACGTTTACGAACTTACTCAGCTCATCCATACCATTCCTGCGGAGTGTCCGTGTGCCATGACTTCAGAGTGGAAGAGGGTTCAGCTGTGAAAAACGATCGTTCCAGAGAGACAGCCATGCCAACACAAAACTGTTCTGTCAAGCTTCATGAGGATGGGGTCGCGCGCGGAGCTCGCTCGCTCCAAGGCATGCCTGCACGAAGGACTGGCTGAGCAGGGCAGTGCTGTTGCCAGCACATGGACCCTATATATGTATATATACGTTACATTATATAAATATATCTATCTATACATATATATAGTATGAGCTTCACTCAATATTTCCCATGCAGTTCATGTACATGGGTTCCCAGTAGGCCTTAGTAGGCACCTTCACTGAGATAATGCCAACGTGTCCTGATTGCAGGCTTGCGCCTTGGCACATCTTGCGGACCTTGCCTGCAAAGGATAATCTTTTGCACAACTGATGCCCTATGTACCGCAATGCTGGCCAATGACAAAGGCAGCCATGTTGTCCCTCAAGCTCGGCTGTTTGTGAAAGGGCTGCCCCAAATGTGATCTGAAGTCTGTGCCTGTCTTTTCTCACCTTGCGTGCATCCTCGGTGAAGAGGAGGAAGGCCGCGCGTAACACCTCGATCGATTAGTTCCGGCTCTTGTCGGCTGCGCACATCTGCGTACTGTGAAGTGATAGGCGACAGGGCAAACATGTGGGGACCCTGCGAACTCCACCACGCTGGCGCTGAAGACGGCTTTGGATCCCGGGCCGCTGATCACGTGGGCAACCTCAGACATACCAGTCTCTGGAGATCGCAGCTGTCCAAAGTTGCACTGCGGTTACATTTCCGGCCTAAGGAGATGCTGGGCCTGTTGCAGTGTACATGATGTTTTGGTGCAGCATTAACCTTTCAGGTAGCCAAACTTACAGAAACGCAGCAGGCAATCACATCTCAACAAATAATGCCTTGCTGACGTTGACCGAGTTATGACCTGCACTGTGGCGTTTGTCCAAACTAGACTTCCAGGGTAATTGTTTCAAAAGATTATCATATCGCCGTTTTGCCAGTGACGACATGCCGAGTGCCTTGTGCGTGAAGACTGGAATCGACGAAAGCCTGTGTCAGCAACAGTTCCCTTTATCATCTGCAGCTCTACTATTCACCTGATTGGAGGTGCGGGCTGCAGCTGCTGTCGTGTCGCAGTCAGAGCAAGAAAGGCTTGTTTTTGGGAACTCAAGGTGGGTCTTCCGCATCGTGGTGAGCAAGCATAGTAGCCACCCCCGTGCCTCAGTCGGTAGGATGTCCAGTCTGGCATGGTCTCGAGAAGGTCATAGCCTGCCAGCGGACCATCGTTCAAGCCAGTTCAAGCCACCCGCCAGTTTTGAAGTTTTTCTGTTTGGGGGTTTCAACTTTTACTGCGTCAGGCTGCTCCGCATGGTTTCGGGCAATGATGTTGTGGGGCAAGCAGGCACTGCAAGCGTGCCTCTGGGAAGGTAAGGCACCAAAGCCTGCCGGAAATCTTGTAGGCCGAATGCTGGCTTAAAAGAACATGCCAGCAGTATTCAAAAATGCCAGCTGGTCTTTCACTGACAAACAAGTCTTGATTCTTTAGCTGTGCCACGCAGTGAATACACCGATGCGACACTTGGCACTGCCAAGCTCCCTTCATTTTTTGATGCCGGTCTTGGGAGATACTGCCCACTTTAGCAAAGCTCGTGACATGCCGAGGTAGGCCTCATCCGCACCACTTCCACTGACCTTGGTCGAAAGATTCTTGCAGCTAGTTTCTGCAGATGTGCATGCTTGACAGAGCCTCAGCATTCCAGCACCGAAGCAAATGTCACCCACAAACCACACCCTTACTTGCCTGGGTGTAATGGGCATGAATCCTCCACTGCTGGGCTTCCAGCCGTCACGAATCCATGTAGGGCGTGAAATGCGGCGTACGGTGCGGCATGGGCACCTTACATCTTGCAGAGAAGTGTTCCTGAGGATTTGGAGGGTGCCTGCCATGTCTCTGGGCTGAGAGCGAGCCGCAGCCCAGTCCCGCGCAGATTTCACGGTGTTGTGAATGAAGCCTCTGCCAAGGTGAGCTACGCCAACTACGCCCGCGTCGGACACCCTGAAGTTCCGAAGGTCAAACGGTCAAAGGTTGGCTTGGGATGAGTGCTGCTACACAGAGCCTCGTCGACGGGGCAGTGACTGTCGGCCCAACCAAGATGCCACTCGCAACCTCACAATTCATTTAATGCCATTAAACATCTTGAAGCTCCCGGCTGGGCAAGAACTCAATCTGCTTGCAAATGCTCGCAAGGCTGTAGGAGAGCCACAGCGTGCTGTGATTTTGCCAGCTAACTCTAATCTATTCTGCACATGTGCTGCTTGCAAGCAAGCCGCACCGGATTCTGAAAGAAGATGAAGCACCAAGCCTTGCATTCAGCTTGCAAGGACTGACATGGTGACAGATGCATGGACAAGACGAGAGCAAGGGAAGGGGATAACATCTGCAGCATGGCTCTTAGTAATGGTCACCCATGAACACCCAAGCTCAACTTACAGCCCGTGATGCATTCTCAGTGATACCCGCAGCAGCCCATGCATCCGAGCCACCGCAAGAAAGCCTATGTGGCATGCGAAGCACGAGACCACCTGAGGCAGCATGAAGGCTGAAGACATTGAAAACAAAAACCGAGAGCGTCAGGTGAGCCTCGAAATCAATGAGAACCATCTGAACAATACCCAACACATAATCCTTGCAAACGCGGAACCATGTTATGATCTCGGATGGTTCTTTCAAGAATTGGACAGAACTCGGGGGTCACAATAATCGGCAAAAACACGTTCGCAGCAAGCGCCCAATGTCAGCAACCCGCGACGATGAACTGACTAAAGGCTCGCTCACTTCCTGCAAGTATGAACCTTCATTTCTTCGGCATGCCCTTCCAGAGGGAAACTGAACGGTGGTCTGGGCTTGCTGCCACGATGGTCCAGTAAAGGGGTAGCCTGCCCAGCTAATTGCATGAACAAATGAGTTGAGTCAAGAGCAGGTTCCGGCCTGGACTCTGTCGTTATTGCTTGCATCAAGATCACGGCGCTCAAGGACGGCAGCATCACGGACCACAGCTGCAACCTGCAACTTTTGCCCTCAAGCCGGGAAGGACTCAACCAGATCCTGGGTACCTCTCGATGCGGTTCAGTACACCGCCCTGTCGGCCATCAAAAGGCCTTAGATTTGGACTGTGCTAGATACGCAATGCCGCAGCAGGTCACATTCTGCCACCACAAATTCTGAGCACAGGTCAAGTACACCTCGTGCGAGTAGAGCGACAGAATGCAAGTGACCACGAAAAGCAGGGTCCGTGCCCTTAGAGCTTTCTCGTGCATGGGGGTCCATCAGGCCATTGGAAAGATATGATATCTGCAGCCTGGATCTTCTGGGCTTCAGACTGGGAGCCTACTGGAAGCACCTTGGAAAAGATGAGCGATGCATGGCAAGGACGCCTGTGAAGCAGATCCTGCCTCAAGGATCAGAAAGGCAAACTTGCGAATGAAAATGGCGGCTTCCCACCACCTTAGTGGTGGCTACTTCATTTTTGACCTGCATCGACCTGAGTTTGTGTGATTTAAACGGAGGCATTCAAGCCCCCAAAGCTGCAGTTTGCGGTCTGCTCTATGCTGTAAGCATCACGCCACACAGTGCGCGAATATCCTTGGGTGTGGTCTAGTTCTTGTACATGTCCATCACAAAGCATCCCTCTCTCTTTAGCCTGCGCACTGTCGTAACATGTGGTAAGTAAGGTGACGGCCATTGATGAAAATTGACCAGCGCTTCATGACCTGCAGCACAGAACTGTTGGAATCTCTTGGCAGCAGATCTCTTTCTGAGGCTTCCTACAGAAGGGTTTGAAAGATAAGGCTCAGCTCGCCGGAGTCTCCGCCTCAGCAAGAGGGCATGATTCGTTAGTGGTCTGAATTGGCGCGTTCCGTGTACCCAGTAGTTCTGTGGGTACTGTAGCGAAGCAGATGACGCAGAGATCGTGATTCCCAATATGCTGCGAGATCCTGCTGTCATTCTAGCTGGGAAGCAGCTGAGGTCATTGAGGATGTGACATGATGACCTGGGCCACGCTGCGCGGGAGCACGTGAACTTGATTCAATGTGTATGCATGCAGGCTTGACCTGAAAACTTGGCATTGTATGTATGTCTTTAGACCTCTGCAGCTACCTGGCAGGTTGGTTGTCAGTCACTGGCAGCTAGGCTGCGGGCACTCGGGTACCCGACTGCCCAAAGCAAAGCCAACCTTGCTGTTCCGATGATCCGACAAAAATTGGCCAAATCGAGAAGCTCGCGTGCGAGCAGCCGGTGATGCGCGCCATGCCAAAAAGTCCAGGTGTAATGCATCCAAGCAACACAAGCGAAACAACGAGCAGAGGGTCTTCAGGACCTGACTCGAACAAAAGCCCTCGCAACACGCTCTCAGCCCAGTGCCACTTCCAAACGCACCATCTGGTTTGCACTGCTGCTCACCACTGGGCGGGGCTTTGCAACCCCAGAGACTATCGCAGCTTGCTAATGTCAAAGATTGCTTGGTCTAGTAAACCTGCTCTACAATGGCTACCGGCTCACAGATTCTCTCCTCCTAAGGAGTAAAGCCGCAAGCTTTCCAGCAGCAGTGGACTTCAGACGCGCTGATGGCCATCTCTATTGCAACACCCCAGCAAGCTTGCAAACTACAATGATGTTTGATATGGTGCAAACTGGAACACCAGAATATGTCTCAAGCAGTTCAAACACCGAATGCCTCTGACAATGCTGATGGCCAGCCATGTGTGAAACGTGTGCATGGCCGTCAAGCTGGAGCAGCGTTGTAACCAGCTTGATTGCAGAAACAATGCTTAAGACTGCCGCCGCTCCCATCAGGAGCTAACGCAGGTAAAGCCCCAGCGCCAAGCGCCAGCTGGAGCTGGCTGTCACTCTCAAATCTTTCTTAGCCTTCGAAGCGCTCGCAAAGACCAGCCTGATCCAGGCACGGCAAATCTGCGCAGGACCCTAAACCCTAAACCCTATGAACCCCTATATAATCCCACTTTCCATTTCATTTTCCGTTTTCTCCTCCATTGGATTCTCCATTATTGGGGTAGTTTTGGCTTGCCAGGTTTGGGGGGCTCATGGCCAGGTGACCTCTGTCCAAAAGAGATTGGAACAATGTTTCGGCAGGAGCATGGGAGGCGTGATAACGCAGAAAGCGCATTGTGTGCCATCTGAAAAGAGCAGCCAGCGAGGTAAGAACTTTTTCCCGTCTCGCCTTGACTCATCGCAGCAACCCCTGTCAAGGTGCCATTCCCGCGACCTGTATGACAGGCACGCAAGAAGCTTGTATGGCAACACTTGACCCAACTACATCTTGCTCAATTCTCTTGCTGAATCTACGACAGGGGGCTACTCCTGTCTTGGGACGCGTCCACAGGTACTGCATCCAAGGCACCAGCGCCGGCGCAGAGAGTGGGGCACTCCTGGTCAAGGCTTGACAGCGGGGTAGCAAATACTGCCTGGGTGCCTGGAAATTCAGCTCCTGATCCTAGAGTTGTGTTCCTAGAGTTGAGTCTGTCCTTCGTCTCGAGAGATACCGGAGACTTGATGACCAGTGGCCATCTGTCCGTGAACTGCGACGTTCCAAGGGGTCCTCAAAAGGACACGTAGCTCAACTGACTAAAGCCAATTTTTGTAGGACATCTCATGACATCTGCGGATTACAGCGATTTCCAAAAGAAAAATGCTCTCTGCAGGCGCCTATGTTGCGACCTGTTATTTTGTACTCGAAATAGTTGGCCATGTGGAGTAACCAGCTAATCACCTTGTGGCATGGCTGGTGGAAAGGAAGAAAGCCCATGCTGAACCACCTGTGCAACACAGCTCTGGAATGTATTTGCGGCACAGCAGCAGAAGTCACTCCGTTGCCCTCGAACCTTGACACAGGAATGCTGACACCATTACAAACCATTTTCTGGCAAATCTTCTGCCAGGTGGCTGGAACCATGTGTGGCCACCTGAGCTGGCCGTGCCATTACTGCATCCAGGATGACAACACCCACCGAGTGAATGGATGATGTGAGTATGAAATCGAGAGTTTGCCCAAGATTGAACCAAGATGCCCAAGTCGCCGAGAAGCAGGGTGTGCAGGACCTCGCCCTGCGGTATTCCATACTGCTGAGCATCGCTCCTGTCTGCTCAAGGCAACTTCAGCTTCCGATGACCATTTGTCGACTACCTCGCAGTCTCCTGTGCGAGGACAGTCGCTTGTAGGCTCCGGGCATCGACCTTGCATTCTCTCCATTGAGGAACAGCCATCTACCCACAGCCACAGCTACAACGTTTCTCTCGAGGCTGAAGCAGCGTTACGGATCCGAAAATGCACGCAGATTGTTTTGCCTCAGTCTTGCGAACCAGAAGCTGGAGAAGCTGATAGGCCGTGAAGTTTTCCCCGCTTGGGGTGTTCAGTTCATCCCGCTGAACGAGCACATGAGCTCCACAAAGAATCCTCAGAAAGTGGAGGCCGCGCAGTGAAACGGTAGACTTGGCAGCAGGCCATCGAAGCCTGTTCTGCTCAGCAAGTAGGAATTCTGGACTTCATATGCGGAGAGTAAAAGTGCAGGTGAGTATCTCACGCATGGTTGCTCGATCGCCTCGTGCAACCTGCATGTACATGAAGCCCATCAGAACCTTGCAAGCATCGCGGTGATCAGGTGTAAAACGCCGCATTCTCATGTTTTTTGGAGACACAGGTCTCTATACTGCCACGAATAGTAGTTACTAATAGTTAGTAGTGATTATACCAATTGTAGTAGTACTAGTAACAATCTACAGCATGCGCAGGAAGCGGAGGAAGGTGCGAACCTGCTCCGCCTGTGGAGGGTGCAGGTCGAATTCCAGGAGCTCGCTTGCAGGAAGCTCCTGTTGCTCTCAAAATTCTGAGCCATTTTTGGGTTATAGGCGGTTATATATTACAGTACGGCACTTAATATTTGGAGGTACCAAAGTGAGAACTTAACTTTGGGGACTATCCATGGGGCTTTCTTGCGCTAATCTAGGGGTGATTAGGAGCTCTCGAGCCAACGAGGCCCCTGATTGATGAATGGCATTCAAACGGCACTTGAAAGTCTACATGAAAGACAGCCTGGATGTGGCGGCTACGTGGCTTAGGGTAGTTTAGGGTTTATGGCTGTTTGATACCATATCGCAAGCCTCTGGAGCTACGGTATTGCAGCCTTTGTGCTTAAAGTGGGAACCTTGCCATTGCCCGTTTACCAGCTAAGAGTCCTACCATCCTACACGTCATGCTTGACATCTGCAGCCGATGGCCAAACATGTCGCATGCAGTTGAGCGCAACAAGGATGCTTGATACTGACGAGGGTCTACAATGCAGGTAGCCGCGCCCGTGCGATGGCAGTATTCGGACTTGCTCAGCATGTCCAACATTGGCTCAAGCAGGCGGCCGCGCGCGCTGATACTGGTGCCTCAATGCTACCGATAGCGTGGCACCCTGCTCCTATGCAAATGCACAGCAAAGCTGCTCCTTGCAAAACAATCCTGGCTCTCCGCTATAACCAGCCGCGTTTGTTCGAGCGAGCAAGCGAACTGGTGCGCAATCGTGCGTACAACATCATCAACTTAAAGCAAATATGTCACAGCACGGATCACCAAACCACTATCTGCAAGTCCTGGGACCTTGGGGATTGCCTTGCCGAGGCACCGACCAAAATGCCGAATGCCACCATAAATACAAGCACTGAGACACAAGTGATGCATCTGCACGATACGTATTGGCAGCTTGGCGGCACCTCAACACTCTCATGCGCTCAGCGATCGCTTTGCAATTATTTTACACTTTTAGCACGTCTTCTAGCCAGGCTTGTTGCAAACAGGATTGAGGCGCGAATGTTGGCAGAGGACTTGGTGTGCTCTTAGTCTTGAATAGACCTACGTTCACAAGGATTGGAGTCAATGGAGCTAGGCGTCAGGGACACAAACGTGCCCAGCACCAGGTCCAGATCCAGGGTCTTTGTATGAAACCTCTACAATACTCCAAATTCTGACCATGCACTGAGGCAAAGAGCCCCTGAAGCTAAGCAGCACGTATTACTGTGTGAGATGCCAAACTGCCAGACTGGGATATGAACGAGCCAATGTACGCAATGAATTCCCTCCGCCTGCCCCTCTCATGGAACACATCTTGCGCTGCAAGCTCTCACTCTCACTATGGTAAGTGCGGGCAAGAGTCTGAACTTGTTTGCTCTGTTGCTTCTGTCAGGGAGGCCTGCTCCTCCTCATCGACCGGCGAGGCTGGCGACACCGGCGAGCCCAGCGTCCGCGCCATGACCGCGTACAAGTGCTGGGCCGTCGTGTTGCACGGCCGATGGCAGACCTTGGCTCTGACCAGCATGAAAAAGAGGGTTCATGGATTGTGTTGGATAGCGAACCCATGCTTCGTCTCCAGCCACTAGCAGCACTAGGCCACTGATAGCCAAAGTCTCAGGCAGCAGCGCATGCAATGGCTCCTCAAACAGCATGAGAGGCGCAGATCTTGAGCCGCGCTGCTGCGGAGCACTGGTCAAACAAGCCTGTTTGAGAGACTGTAGTAGAGATTCACAGGGTGAGGTGACACCTGTCAGTCTCGTTCATGCTTCAAGAATGCTGGGAGAATGACGGCACTCGACAGAACCCTGCCGCATCAACACAGAAACTCCGGAGCTGCCCAAGTCCACCTGGCAAATTTGCCCAATCAGACTGGCAGAATGCTAGCAGAATGCAGCATGTTTGCAGTAATCTGCTTCTGATGACTGAAAACCGAGGGCCCTGCACAGGTCAAGACGCGCAAGTTTCTTCTGGCAACTGCAAACTGCATGAGCTGGAAGACCTCGTCAGAAGTCCGAATAAATGACGAGAGTTTGCGTGTACGGGGACAACTGTGTGTTCTGGGCTGCGGGTCTCCCTGAACCTATGTTGAGCTCCCAACCACAGCTCGAGCCTGAAGCGACAGGCTTACTTCTTAAGCCTGGATTTAATACGCACTCGAATCTGACTCCAAGTGCAAGTTTCTGGGAAACACGCTGGCCGGTGATCCCGCCAGAAGAGCGTCATGGATGGGAAGCGGACGAATCCACTGCTGTCCCTGCACAAGAGAATGGAAAGAAAGTTAACAAACAAAGCCAACTGTCTCAGACCCAGTGCAAAACGAAGCAAGGGATCACAGCAAACTCGAGCAAGCCTGCGCCCTGACGAGAAGGATGCAATGTAGTGCAATGGCCAGAAAAGTCCCAACCTGAAGTTCAAAGCGCGAGAAGCTGATCTGGTCCAGAGATAGCATGGTGCTGAGGATCCACAGCCTTTTGCGGTAGATCTGTATGAAGTCGCGTCGCTGGGCCTGCTTTCATTTTGCTTTTGCTGCGCCTGACCCATACAGTAGTTGCCGTTTCTGTGCAAAAGGGGGCGGGAGTTGACAGGATGTCCGAGTTAGACATATCTGCTGGGCAGCGTTCCAAGACCACCAATCTGCCTTTGATCAATGCAAAACTCCCATCGTCCCATCGTTAGCAAATGAGACATGGTTAGCAGCTTTGGTCAACTCGCCGGCACAGCCTCATCCCAAAAGGCAGTGACTTTTCCACCAAAGCAGCTCACCTGTGCAGTGAATGAGAAGGTTTCAATACTCTTGAGCCAACATGCAAGGCCTGCCAGCGCTCACCAGCCATCAGACGTGCTATATATCCACATTAATATTTAGAAGCTTGAACTCTTGACTGCTCCTTTGATAGAACCCATGTATGGCCGGGCTGTGTCATGATTCCGATTAAGTGTTTAAGCAATCGCCCGAGAATCGCCTGCCTGGCTGTAGAAATCGATGGCATCTGTCCAGAGCTCTGCCCGCGACCTACTTCAAATACATGAGCCACTCTGCAAAAGAACAAATTCTGCAGCGACGCGTGCTGTGCCTCATGTATCGATCCAGCAGGCCGTAGCATAGGATAACGGAAACGAATACCACCTTGAGCATAACGGATATCTCCGCAACAGCAAGGAGGGCTGGATTTCAAGGGGCTATCTTGCTTCGGGGCCAGCATGCCCGTTGGTTTCAAGGAAATCTACAAGTACAAGCAAGCTAAACGCAGTAGAAAGCAACTGGCGTGTGCAATGGTGCCATGGTCTGAAAAGCTATAGGAAGATCAGGCTGCAGCCAGGAGTGGTAGCAGGTTCCTCAAGTTTTGGATGCTTACACAAATCAGCGAGGTGCAGATTTGCATTGAACAAAGCGTCGCCACTGTGTGACGCACAGTCTGAGGCTGGCTCCATGTGAGAACCACGAAGGTCTCGTTCAATCTCTGGTAGTTTTGCAGGGCATCTGTCGGCAGAGTGGTTTCACTGGATGCCTCCTCTTCCGCTGTTGGCCTCTTGCCGGACTCTGCATCCAAGCAAGTCGGGAGTCCAGGAAGTGGTTTGAGAAAGAACCCACCAGAAATGGGACAGGGCAATGCTGCTATTGAACAGTCCCCGAGTGGTTGTTTGATTCCATTATTCTACTGGCCTCGCGCCGGTCTCAGCTCGTCTAGAGCGAAGGCATGGTGCTGGGCCGCGGCCATCCTCGGCAGATGGCAGATGATGATGATGATGCGCTTCTAGATGGTGGCGTGCACTCTATGTTGCAAGAAGGTGATGTTTGTGATAACGACGGCTATCCCATGCCACAAGAACAAAACTGGAATAGAATTCCGGGCCCTCTGACATGCGATGGGCGTGTGGCTTCTATGCATCCAATCAAGACTTACAGCGCCTGCGCTTGGAAGTTGCCTGACGCCTGGCACTTAGATCAAGGACCGGGCTCGGCCATCCTTGGCAATCTCTTGACAAGAGTTCGCTTCACTGAGTATGATGCTGCAATTGTACTTGCTTGATGCCTGATGCCTGCTAGTCAGTCACATCTTGAATTGGGGCTATGGCATACGGCGTCCTTCGACTCCCAAATGTGGCTGCCTGAGAAAACCGTGCCAAATCGTAGCACAGCCGCCAAAGGCTCTTCCACTTCTGTCTCCGAATGGCGTGCACGGACATCGGACATAGGATGCCAAGATGCAGCAAACAGGACAGCGAAAACCAGCTGGCTTCGCCCTCGGGAGCCTTGTGGAAGGAGCTTCTACAACCAGCACCTACGTTACCCGCAGTCGCCACACACGCTTTGCCCACTCTGGGGCCACGGCCCCATCCGCGGCCGACAAGATCTCCAGTATGAGCTTGATAGCCACATAATCCCGCAGCCTCGGCTGGTCACATGACATTGGAGAACTGTGGGGTAATATTGGGGATAATGGAAAAGAACATGGAAGCTACTAATTGGGATTATATTGGGATAATGGAAAAGAAAATGGAAACCACTATTTAGGGTTTAGGTCTCTGTGTGCATTGGTTCTCCTGGGACCCAAAGAGGCGCTGGAAGTCTCCGCCGTGTGTGAACCGCTGGTTGGCGCAATGGGTTTTCCACTTGCTAAGTCTCGGACAAGCCCGCCTTGTCAGCAAAACTGGAAATTGGAGAATTTGTCTGACTTCAACTACTCTGCCATCTAGACTCAAATTTAGACTCTGCTCCTGTTCAAGTGATATCATCTCAGCTGAAAGCTTGCATGGGCCGCCTGAGTGATGTAGCGCTGAATCTGCGAGCTGAGAACTGCCCTCATTGGAATCTCCGGCTGAAATCAAGGAACATTGCCAAGTTACTGCAGACACCATGGCACTGGTTGGCAGCCAAGGCGCATAGCGATGCAGTGGTTCAGTAAGATCTTGAAGAGAATCATGTGGCAGTCCTATCAGGAAGCTTCGATCTTGCGTGCTGAGATTTGAACGCAACCTACTGCCGTTGCAAGCACCATCTGCTCCGCCGCATAGCTGACAGGTGGCGCTCCTTCTTGCTGGTGAGATCCACAGTCATCATGAGCAAATGGATAACCAGCACATAGCCGAAGAAGTACATCCTTGGGGTTGCGCATTTCAAGCCAAGTCAAGCTAGCAAGCACCACTTCCAGGAGACAGGCTGAAAGCACCCTGGCGATACTGTGACATATCTGGACTGAGCGCGCGGCCCCGCGAAGAAGAAGCCATCTGAGATGGTCACGCAGCCAAAAGAAATTGCAAGCAAAGTGCAAACTACAAATACAGTCAGCCCAAGTCCTGTGATGCCAGATCCACCAGGAACCGTACATTGCATCTGCATGCGAGCGGCAGATTTGGTTCGGGCATCGGCTGCAGGTTCCGCTGCTGATGAAGCCGGGCAAGCAAGAGTAGCCTCAGCGAGGCAGCAGCTTGAGGTGGGCCAGCTTTTGCCTGCAACTGACTGTTCCTCAGGTGCAAGGCAAGCTCAAATTTTCTGGCGATTGACTGGGAGCTTGGGCTGGGCTCGTTGTGTTTTGCTCTCAAGACCATGCTGCCCAGGAATGTTGAGCCACATAACCGAAACAAGAGGCCAACAAGCCGAGTCACAGTGATGACCAGCATGTCCTTCAGCACATGCCTCGTTGATCAAGCATGCCTGCGATTACGATGACGCAGCAAAAGCCATGCATTCTTCAGGGGCTTTGGCCTTGTGCCATTCTTGCACGCTTCTTGCATGAATCATCTTCCCAGTGCATGAAGCCCAAGACTGCCAAGACTGCCCCCACAGCGGTTCTCTCCTCTGGCATGGCGTCGCAGCGCTCGATGACTGCCAAAGGTTCGCTCTCCGAGACCTCAACAC